ATTGAAAACATAATAAATCTTATTTATAATCTAGGTTGAACAAAATACACTTATGGAGAACCTTATGATAATCTTAAACTAATTATGAAACTAATAAGATAAGCAGCAAATTAAAAGAAATTGATTCAACTCCAAGAAAGGGTCAGGGCACGTGCAGGCGACTAGCCTCGCGGCTAGAGTCACGTGGTTAGTCAGGACTTTCTATCTCATGTCCAATGAGTTGTGTGGCTATTCTCGCGGGTGAGCCTGTGTTGAAAGCCCAAGAGAGGCTGTTTCAGGATAAAGTTAGGTACACGACTTCCCCTACAGCTTAGGTTGTGTTAGAAGTCGCGTCATCCTCTCTTTTGGTCTTTTTGCCACGATTTTGTCTCGATCCATCTGTTATTCGAGCTTGGTTACTAGACGCTATACATCAACAGACGTGAGGCTTGAGTAAAAGGGTCAAATGCCACCCATATATTTCACATTATTTGACTTCAATATTGAAAAAAAAATCATTATATATAGGGGCCCATTCAAGGGAGAACTAAGTTGTTTGTGATAACCGTGAGGTCCAATCTCAATCAATCATTTTAATATATTAATTATTCAATTTTTTTTTATTTTAAAAGGCTATGTTAGTCAATTCCTAAATTAATATTAAATTTTAAATTTTAAAATAGAAACGTTTCACAAAAAATAATTACTATTGATTTACATTCCTAAATTATAGATTAATATGATTCAGTGGAATAAAATCAAAAAAACTAATCCGTGAGTGTAAACATGATCATGATTCTAAATTATCACATGGAATCACACATATTTGTTGAAGATTTTCTCCATAATATTTAAGAATATCAAATCAATAAGTGTTTCTGCAAGAATTTCATCTTGTGTCTGTATATTTTACCACAATGTAGCACACCACAATGTAGCACACCATTGTTCAAACACTATCATATATACATATATATATATATATATATATATATATGAAAGCGGGATGCAACACATATATAGCTGCTAGCTACATTAATTTGGGATCTATTTCTTGTTAACTAGATTATGAGTCAAATCTCTGTGTCTATCTTTGTATGTGTATGTGATGACTCTGTGTCTGTATATTTTACCACAATGTAGCACACCACAATGTAGCACACCACAATGTTAAGGAATTGGCTATGATAAAAGACCCACCAGTAGGAAGTTTCACATCAGTTGCATGAATAGGGCAGAAATCAATGAGTTCAGCAAATCCAATTTTGGCCATGAAGGATATTGTCTGTTTAGAAAAGACAAAAGTTATGACTAGGAGACAGGAGGTATAGACAACTAAAAATCAAAAGTAAAAACCTGTAAAAACCATGGAGAAGGAGAAGGAATATATGAATGCTCGAACATTGGAGAAGGAAGACAGGGAAACCTGTAAAAACCTTCAAGTGCGTTTACTAGCATAAAATGGATCAGTTATGAGTTAATTTGGGATCCATTTCTTGTTAACTAGATTAGGAGTCAAATCTCTGTGTCTGTGTCTGTATATGTGTATGTGATGACTTTGTCTCTGTATATTTTACCACAATGTAGCACACCATTGTTCACACAATATCACTGCCAATGGTGATTTTGAGTGTCCGATGCCACAGCCAAGGGTCCCCTCATTTATGAAAGAGTACGGTCGCCATTGCTGAGCTGCTTCTTTTTGCAGCTGCTTAATCTCTCTTCCTCCGCCGGCGATGACATCTCTACGGTGGCTAACAGAACCCTCATATCTATGTTCTTCCAACTTTCTACCTTTCAAGCCCATGTACAAAACCCTACCTAGACCAACGACAAAACCCTACCCAAAATCATCACCATTAGATCCGTCCTTCAATACAATCGCAAGCCAGAGCTCGCCGGTGATACCCCAAGAGTCGTTGTCATCACATCTGGCAAACGCGGTGTCGGCAAAACCACCACCATTACCAATGTTGGTCTTTCCCTTGCTCGATTGGGCTTCTCCATTTCTTGTTAGGAGTCAAATCTCTGTCTGTGTATGTGAAGACTCCGTGTATATTAAGAATATTAACGGATTTGTAGGGAGCTCAAATCCGGCTCAATAAATTAAAAAAAATGACCATCTTACCCTTCTTTACATTATGTCATTAAATGTCA